CCAAGAACAGGGAGGGAGGCACAAGGCACTCGGCAGTTAGCTGCCTGCTCCTCGTCCCCGCACAGGGAACGCGCCACGAAGCCAAGAAACATCCATTTGTCTGTTTTGGAGCCCAGCGCCTCTGAAATGTCCTTGGTGGATGGCCCTCTGTGCTGGGATGATGGGGTGCTCCCAGGAAGGCACCCACATCCACGCAGAGATGCCCGACCTGCCTCCACCAGAGCTGATCCCACCAGCGGAACTGGAGGCAGGACACAAAGAACTGATGCCAGCACTCCTGGCGCAGGGAACACCACTCCTCCCAGCACCCTGATGCCAGCACTCCTGGCGCAGGGAACACCACTCCTCCCAGCACCCTGATGCCAGCACTCCTGGCGCAGGGAACACCACTCCTCCCAGCACCCTGAGGCATCTCATGACTCCACTGCTCACCTAAGGCTCTGCTTCACCCACCCTGGACCCAGCAGGGCTGGAAAGAGAGGGGACAGGCTGCCTGTCCAGTCACACCACCCCAACTGCCCCACTGGTCCTGCTCGCCAGGCCTTTTCTTAAAATCCACACAATCCAGCCCCAGCATCCATCTCCCTGCTGCCCAGGGGCTCTGCCCACCCCCCCACAACGTGCCCCAGAACATCCAGGCCTCCACAGATACACATGCAGCATCGTGCCCAAAAAAGCACACCCCCCCAAAACACAGCAGAGAGGGACACCACAGGCAGCACTGGCCAAGCCGTGGGCACGTGGACAGCACATGGACAGTCCGTCTCTTGCGGAGAAAGAGCACAGATTTGGGGGCTGTAGGCACGCCACGACCGTGGAGGGGGGGATGGAGAGGCAGGATTCAGAGGTCCTCGTGCCCAGCAGCAGCGTGGTCAATGAGGAGGTACCACTTCAGCCTGTCTGGAAGAGGTAGAGCCTTGATTTTGATGTCAACTGGCCACGGTTTAAGGCGCTGCCGGATAAACACCCTGCAGAGATGTTTCAGTGCCTGTGGGGAGCGCTCCAGCTGCTTCAGAGAGCAGAAAAGAGTCCTGATCTTTTCCCCGTGGTACCTACAGCTGCTGGTGTTGACCTCAAAGTTGCTGGGCAGCTGGATGGCTTGTGAACTGGCCATCATGAGCTCCAGCAGAGTCTGAGCTTTCTGGATGAGGTCTGTAGAGAAGCTGTCATCTTCAGAGACGCTGAGGTGCGAGCAGAGGCACTCAAAGATGATGTGGAAGCCTGACCAGCAGGAAGGACCGTGGAGGGAGCAGTTGTAGGCAGCACCCGACTCCAGCAAGAAGCGCAGCAGCGGGAAGTGGTGTTTGAAGCTTTTGAAGCAGAGGTGGGTGAGGGACTCAGGGGCCGGACACTCGCTGGGGTTGGCACCGTGAGCCACCAGCAGCTGTGTGACACGAAAGCAGAAGCGACTGATCACCTGGGCCTCCTCGGTGTTGCTGCACACCATCTCTCCCAGCAGGAAGATGATGTAGGTGAAGACAGTGTCACCATCTTTGGTGGTGGCTCTGACATCCGCGCCTGGAGGAAGGGACAGAGAATGTAACTGGCACTGCAGTGAGGCCAGGACACCACGAACGGGCACTGCCAGGCTTTACTCTTGCTCGAGTGGGAACACAAAGCAGTTGGGAGGGCAGTGCCCGGTGCCGTACAAACAATCAGCCAGCGCTAGGCCTGGAGGGACTGCACATGGAGAGGGCAGAAGGTTGCTCTCACCTCCTTCCAACAGGAGACGGATGCTCTCGGTGTTGTGGATCTGGACACCATCACTGCTGGCCAGGGCGTGCAGCAGTGCTGTCTTTCCTGCAGTGGAGCAATCGGTCAGATTAAAATAGGGCAACACCCCAAAAGGCAGAAAGAAAACAATCCACCCACCAACCAGATGGCCAAGCACAGGGGGAAACAGCCCTTCTCCTTCTGACAGGCTCACGCTGTCCCCGTGATGGTGCACAGCTGTGGGGACAAGGTGACAGGCCCCAGGTGCAGGGCTGCTGGTGGCCCCAGAGGGCATATCTGCCACAGCAGAGTGGGGTTTAGAGCGTGTGGGCACCACAGGGCTACAGAGGCACAGCCCCATCCCATCTGCCAGCGACTGCACAGAGCTGGCTGCAGTCCCCTTCTGCACCTGACACAGCCAAGACACAAGGAGAAAGCACAGAGCACCAGGGAGGCTCTGCAACCCGCACTCAACTTCCAAACCTGCTAGTTTACAGCTAGAGAGGGTTTGCAGCAGCAAGACAGAAGGACCCAGACCCCGTACTCTGCTCTAGCCCACCCATGAGGGCTGACTGCCGGGAGCACCCGGGCAGCGGGAGCCAGACAGGGTACACAGACCGTTTTTGTCAGCCGCGTTGACATCGGCCCCCAGCTGAAGCAGCCGTCCCGCCAGCCGCTCGGGCTCCTCGCTGGCCAGATCGAGGGGACTGCTCTCGTGAATCTGCAAAGAGCAAGAGGGGAAAAAAACACTAGTGAGTATTAAAAACTATTTGTGAGTGCCTCTGGACAGTCACTGCTGAGGCTTCACCATGGCCAATATTAGACCATATCTAAACCCATCCCCAAAAATCAAAGTGAACCTTCTCCCATGTATCCATAGACAGAGATTTGTCTGCTCCAGTCTCTTTCTACCCATCGCTCTGCAGCATGCAGTGAGGCTGGGGAGGTTGGGAGCAGGAGGGGCTATCCCCACACACCCATCCCCTGCAGTTAAGTCTCAAGGGGGCTCAGCGTGGCCATGCCCAGGCAGCAAAGCCCGTACCCGGTCTCTGCGGTTGATGTCAGCCCCGTGCTGCACCAGGAGCTCCACCATATCCGGCTGGTTGCGGAGCACCGCGATGTGCAGGGGGGTGTAGTAGGTGACTGGATCTGAGGACAAAAACACAGAGTCAGAGAACTACGGGCTTCCCCAGAATGGCCCCAACACCTGACAAAAGTGAGGAGGGCCCTGACAACACAGCGAAGCCCATGAAAACAGGGCTGTCACAGACACCCCAGGTCCTGCTTTTGCAATGGCTCCACTGCTGGCAAAAGTCCTCAAAGGTTCAAACTGGCCCCCAAGCCCCTGGCCATCCCCCCGTCCATCCCTGCGACTGGGTCTGGACAAGAGCTGCCACTAAGCACTTCCGCGCTATCCCAGCAGAATGAGGGCTGAACTGGCAGCACCCCCTCTTTCTGCCCCAGCTATCACCACCTCCCAGGGCAGCTTCTCACCAGCTGGTTCCTCCTGGCCAGCCCGAAGAACAGACCCAGGCCCAACCTCCTCCTCACCAGCCTCACCTTCAAAGCTGAGGTCAGCTCCAAACTCCAGGAGGATTTCTGCAGCAGGGACGAGCCCCAGCTCGGTGACCTTCAGCAGGGCATAGCTCACCCCTTCCTGATAAAACGGTGAATGCGTCTCCCTCTCCAACACTCGTCTCACAGCTGAGAGCTGGCTCCTGTCGCTGCCCAGACAGGCAGGGCTTAAGACACACAGAAACAATCAGTTACTCAGCTGAACAGCACATGTCTCAGGTGTGTTTGCAAGAGTCAAAGTAGCACCAGGGAAGGAAAAAAAAGGCCTGGTCTCTCCTCTCGTCACCACTGGGTTTCTAACCTGTTGGCTGTTAGATTACAAAACAACAGCATCAAGGTCACAGCTGAACCCCTGTTTAGGTTTTACTGCCATGGGTCAGGCAGAAAGGGCTGTTCCTGGGGAGCACATGTAGTCCCTGCATTTGCTCTGCTTCATCCCCTTGTTCCCAAAGAACAGCAGCAAGAGGAGGGTCCGTGGGATGAGCTGCTCACTGGGAGCAGGGTTTGTTCCCAGCCAGTGCTGTGTCTGACCTCGGCTGCATCCCTGAGCCCCAGCTATCACCCCCTAAAACACCAGGTGGGTGTTCAGCCCCAGAGCTCTGCTCACAGCCCCAGATCTCTGCTCGCAGCCCCATCTCATTACCTCTCAAGGGCACTCTGCTGCTCCACATCCTGTATCACCACCAAGCTCAAGATCTCGTCTACCAGAGGCTGATACTCGAAGATGATCCTGCGGAAGCCGTGCAGGAACGGCATTGTGCTCTGCTCTGCACACAGACTGTCCAGGGGCCTCCAGCATGGCAGTGGTGTCTTCCCCACTCAGGACTCTGGCAGGCAGACCCTGGCGCCGGCTGGTTACCAAAGGACTTTTCCCTCCTTTTAAAACAAACAAGCCCTTCTAGCAGTCTTGCATTTAGAAAAAAACACAGCCTGCCTGCCTGGCTGCCTCCTTATGCATTTCTAAACAGCAATGAAGACCAGCACAGGGATCTCCTCCCACACACCACAGAGGTGTACTCACATTATCTCCTGCACGCAGAGCTGCAAATTAGAGTTATCTGGGCACAGGAAGAAAACATGTCAGGCGGTGCCCAGGTTCAGGGCAAAGCACATTTGCAGAGGCTCTGCCACAGCCCCTACAGGCTGGGGGTGCCGGGGGAGGGCAGACAGAGCAGAGAGGGGCTCCAAGCGCTCTGGGCTGCCT